GCCACCTGTGGCCTTGCTCCAATAATTCCAATGATTCCAATAATTCAAATAATTCCACGTTCTCCCCACACTGGGGACACCAGAACTGTGTTCAGTTTCCCAGGTGAGGCCTCAGGAGAGCACAGGGAGTTTTTCCCTGCAAAACTTTCCTGACTTGCAGCAGCCATCTGCCATCCCCAGCTCCACTCGGGTTTTTTCCATGCTGCTGCCTCCGAGCACGCTGCTGGCAGCAGGGGGAGGCTGCAGAGGAGAGGTCACTCTGCTGAGGGGTGTTTGCTATTTGTGGGTCTGGAGTGGTGTGAGGGTGTTTGGGAGCTGTCACAAAGGGAATCAGCTTGCCCAGAGCTGAATCAGGAGATGCTGAACCTTGTAACTCCAGGTAAATACCAGAGCTGGAAGTGGCAGCTCATCCATGACCTGGCTCTGAGGGACTGGAAGCATGGAGGGGTCTCAGGTGGATGGAAGTGCCATGTGCTTGGAGCTTTGTGTGCATGGAGTGGTAAATTCAGGCTGGGAGGGGCTGTTCCACACAGATTTTCTGTTGGTTGACATAAAACCATGGCAGAGTTTGTGCAGACTCTGAGCTTTCCACGTCCCTTCCAAGGCAGCTCCTGTCCTCACGTTCTGAACCATCAGGAGTATTTTTAATAAAAAATGCTGGATGGAAATAATCATGTCAAGCTTGAGTCATCCACCTCCACAGGCACTATCTAAAGGGTATTGTCAGGAGGGAAAAACACTGCCAGAGTGGGAATATGACAAATCTCACCTGAAGGGAGGTGCAGGAGAAGCAGGCTGGGGGGAGATGCAAGCAGGGCCTTGCAGAGGAAGCCAAACGTGAACCATGGCAGCAACATTTATCCAGGTAAACATCCCAGTAAATCCTTCCCTGAGGCAGCTTCCTCGGGAATCAGCAGGAGGAAATGCTGCTGCAGGGCAGTGTTGGCATCTGGTGCCTCACCTAGCAGGGGAATGAGGGGTCTGTAGGGAATTTTCTAGACTGGGAGAGATTTTTGGGATTGTTGCAGTCCCTAATGTGGAGCTTGAGGGTGGCAATGCCAGGGTTTTGCCTGGTTGAGCTGGAGGTGTGAGCAGAGCAGCCCAGCAAAGGGGCTGCAGGAGCTTGGGGTGCAGGGGAACAGGAGCAGGAGTGTGGGGACATCCCTCTCCAGGAGCTCTTCCCATCATTAGGGAATATTAACCACAGCAGGTGCCTGATTTCTGCTTCCTCTTCCCAGCACCTCCCCTGGCACCAGCTCCCACCTGGATCTCTGTTCCCTGGGTGTGGAAGAGATCCCTGAGCAGCTGCAGAGTGCCCTGAGGGGATCTGGGGCTCCTGCTGCTCCCCTGGAGCTGGGATCAGCAGCTGTCCCCTGCTGGCCACCACGGCCAGGGGGCCAAGGACCGGGGGCTGCAGCACCAGCAGCTGGGCAGGGTGGCAGTCCTGGGGCAGGGACACTCTGGGGACACTCTGGGGACTCTGGGGCTGCTCTGGGGATGCTCTGGGGACACTCTGTGACACTCTGTGACACTGTGACACTCTGGGGACACTCTGGGGACACTGGGGATGCTCTGGGGACACTCTGTGACACTCTGTGACACTCTGGGGACACTGGGGACACTCTGGGGACACTCTGGGGACACTGGGGCTGCTCTGGGGATGCTCTGGGGATGCTCTGGGGACACTCTGGGGACACTCTGTGACACTCTGTGACACTCTGTGACACTGTGACACTCTGGGGACACTCTGGGGACACTGGGGATGCTCTGGGGACACTGTGACACTCTGTGACACTCTGGGGACACTCTGGGGACACTCTGTGACACTCTGTGACACTCTGTGACACTCTGGGGACACTCTGGGGACACTCTGTGACACTCTGGGCTCACACAGCACGGGTAAAATGGCCCAACATGATAAACACAGCAGTGCCATCCTGACCCTGCCTCTGCCCGTGCAGGTGGGGGCTGCTGACGCTGCTCTGCACGCCTGGTGACAATCCCTGGGTGCTGGCAAGGAGGGACCGTGTCCTGCAGGGCTGTGACACCAGCCAGGCTCCTCTGGGGGTGTTGTTTAACAAATCCCTGGGATTGTGGCTGCTGCAGAGCTGGTTCTCTGCTGCTTTTGGGAAGGCTTGGGAAGATTCCCTGGCTGCTGGCCACAGCTCCTGTCCCTCTCCAGGGGCTGAGCTTTCCCTGGCACTTGAATCCTGCAGGTGGGCACAGAGGGGGAGGACAGGGACAGTCCCTGCAGCCTCCCCAGCTGGGCACTGCTCATCTTCGGTGCTCCAGGTGGGATCAGGGAACGGGAGCAGCAGAGTGCTCCAGGAGGGAGACCCAGGGGACACAGGCATTAGTCAGTGGGCTGAGTCATGGAGCAGCAACAGGCTGAGCCTGCTCGGCTCCAGGGACAGGAAAAAGCACCTGGGAAAGGGGAATGAGGAAAGGAACATGGATCCCTGCACAGCTCCCCAAGCCCACGCTCAGTGCAAGCCCTGCAAGCATTAATGAAGTGGCTGGGACTGTATAAAGCACATTTGCTGTTTCCCAGAGCTCTTTTCCAAGGGAGGTTCATCCCCAGGGTCGCTGTTGTGAGTGGCCATGGCTGGAAATGGAATTATTTCTGTCTGCTATTGAGCTGTGGTGGGG